AAATTTGTCACGTACCTCAAGACTTTATTTGAAACACCTTAAGAAGTTTAATAAATCCAATAAAACTCTATCAGAACCTTTTCACAAGATTCTAATTTTCTGATATGCTGAATTTGAGATTTTGTTGTCATTTGTAATCATCAAAATTAAACGAAATAAACATTTGAAATATATGAGTTTGTATGTAATGTATGAATATAATATACAAGTTTCACTTTTTAAATGGAATTACTGAAATAAATCTACTTTTTCATGATATTCTAATTTTATGACCAGCACCTGTACTTTTATCAGCCCAACTCTTCTCCTGCAACATTATTCCCATCACTCATTTATCAAACAACACCTCTGTCACCTGCAAGTCCTTCTCATTTAAAACTATTTCATTTATGACAGTTTCCTTTCAGGATTAAACTCTTTAATTTAAAAGTTTGTCCTTAAATCCTGTTGTTTACAGTGAAATGAAAAAATAAAGTGATATTGGTTTTTGTAACACAGTTGAACTGTTTTCATTATTTTAGAGCAAATCAAATTGAATCGGATCGTGATTAATCGATTCAGAACTTCATGAATCGAAATGGAATCGATTTAGAGAACCGGCCATGATACCAGCTCTACTAATTTCACACAAACACAAATGTTTATTTTAACACAAAACAACTAGCTGTGAGAGGAAATCTGTAAAAGATTTAAAAAGATCAATAAATGTTATCAATTATTTTAATATTTGAGATGAATTATAATCACCCTGAGACCTGTGAACCATTGATTTGAGACATTTTAAGGCTAATTACGGCCTTATTTTTGGATTGATGAATTCAATGCATGTTAAAACTTGCTAAGGATCCCTGGGCACTGAAAAAATGATCCAGACTAACATCATCCTTCATTCTTACAGTTTCAGATCTTTGAGTTAAAAACAGGGTTTCCTCACCTGAACAGGTGGAGATCCATCATTGCTGTAACGAAACTCTCCTTCATCTCCAGCGCTCACCTCCTCGTAGTCCTCCAGCATGCGAACAATCATGCCACTCTTCAGATTGTCCTGAACGTACTCCACGTAGGCTGAGCGGTTGGCGAAGTCTGAGCGAGTTTTGAAGCCGTTCCCAGTCTTCTTCTTCACTGGCGTGGCCGTTCCCACTGTCACAGAGGAGCTGCTGGTCTGAGTGACAGGTGCAGCACAGAACCGAGGCTGGAAGATGGACCTAAGGACCGGGCGCAGCACCTCCTCCTCCTCACTGTGCTCCTCCCAACATGCCCCGCCTCCTTCCTGGTGGTGGGTGGAGTCGTCAGGTGGCCTTCGGTTCCGGTCCCAGCCCATGACTCGGACCAGCTCAGAGATCAGGTTGGCCATGGCCATGGTGAACTCAAACTCTCGCTGGATTCGGAGGAGCTCAGTCTGGTGGGAGGAGCTAGAAGATGATGAGGCAGGGGCGGGGCTAGCATCTGGCCTATCAGGACATGACTCTGCCCCTGCTGTGTTAAGTTTGTCCATCAAAGACGTGACGCACAGGTAACGCTTCACCAGAGAAAAGAGCAACTTCCCAGGAATCTGAACAGAAACAGACCACAGTTAGACACACTGTGAAGGACCAGGATGTAGAGGTCCATCAACACTTCAGTCCATCCGGTCAGCTTGTCAAATGTAGTTTACCTGAGCCAGGTGTAATTTACCTGAGCCAGGTGGAGTTTACCTGAGCCAGGTGTAGTCTACCTGAGCCAGGTGTAATTTACCTGAGCCAGGTGGAGTCTACATGAGCCAGGTGTGGTCTACATGAGCCAGGTGGAGTCTACATGAGCCAGGTGGAGTCTACATGAGCCAGGTGTAGTTTACCTGCGCCAGGTGTAATTTACCTGCGCCAGGTGTAATTTACCTGCGCCAGGTGTAGTTTACCTGAGCCAGGTGGAGTCTACCTGAGCCAGGTGAAGTCTACCTGAGCCAGGTGTAGTTTACCTGCGCCAGGTGTAGTTTACCTGCGCCAGGTGTAGTTTACCTGCGCCAGGTGTAGTTTACCTGCGCCAGGTGGAGTTTACCTGCGCCAGGTGGAGTTTACCTGAGCCAGGTGGAGTCTACCTGAGCCAGGTGTAGTTTACCTGAGCCAGGTGGAGTCTACCTGAGCCAGGTGGAGTCTACATGAGCCAGGTGTAGTCTACCTGAGCCAGGCGTAGTTTACCTGAGCCAGGTGTAATTTACCAGAGCCAGGTGTAGTCTACCTGAGCCAGGTGTAATTTACCTGAGCCAGGTGTAATTTACCTGAGCCAGGTGTAGTCTACCTGAGCCAGGTGTAGTCTACATGAGCCAGGTGTAGTCTACATGAGCCAGGTGTAGTCTACATGAGCCAGGTGTAATTTAACTGAGCCAGGTGTAGTCTACATGAGCCAGGTGTAATTTACATGAGCCAGGTGTAATTTACATGAGCCAGGTGTGTAGTCTACATGAGCCAGGTGTAGTCTACATGAGCCAGGTGTAGTCTACATGAGCCAGGTGTAATTTACCTGAGCCAGGTGCAGCTTACATGAACCAGGTGTAGTATACCTGAGCCAGGTGCAGTTTACATGAACCAGGTGTAATTTACCTGAGCCAGGTGTAGTTTACCCGATCCAGGTGTAGTTTACCCGATCCAGGTGTAGTTTACCCGATCCAGGTGTAATTTACCTGAGCCAGGTGTAATTTACCTGAGCCAGGTGTAATTTACCTGAGCCAGGTGTAGTTTACATGAACCAGGTGTAATTTACCTGAGCCAGGTGTAGTTTACCCGATCCAGGTATAGTTTACCTGAGCCAGGTGTAATTTACCTGAGCCAGGTGTAGTTTACCTGAGCCAGGTGGAGTCTACATAAGCCAGGTGTAATTTACCTGAGCCAGGTGGAGTTTACCTGAGCCAGGTGTAGTCTACCTGAGCCAGGTG